GTTACTAGTACCATCCCGCTAGTGCTCAGGTAGGTTACTGTGATTTACCACTTTACGTTTTATCCTGTTTCTCCCAGTTTTCGTCTGTATAACATTTCTATCTTTACCCTCATAAATAAAGCGATCTTGTGTTTATAGAAACAGACCAGTGTGAAGAAGTCTGGATGGGAAGACGTTCAGTTTTGGGGGGTTTCACCGTACCGAAATGTCGACTGTTCTAGTGGCTCGGTGGCATTGTGGACAGGCCTGTATCATGTGTGCCACAAGCCTACTTACCGTTGTTTATGTTGTAAGAAATGTTTGGGTTTTTGTGGGGGTGGGGTCATTTGAGATTGAAAGGCTGTAAAGTGACTTACGTCTACAAATTTGTTGACAAACACTTAAACCAAGGCAAACAGCGTACAGACGAACCGACATAGAATCCAAAAGGCCGAATCACGGATGAAACTATAATATTGAACTATAACAAAGAAGGTAGAGATACGTGAAGAGGAAAAAGCAGGCAAGAAGAGATGATTGAAGAGAAAGGGGCGTTAGGCTTCATGGTTGCTCAGAAATTTAAAAAATCTATTAAAAAAAGAAGCATGCCCTATGTCAAAGATAGATGATGATGACACTAGCAGGAAAAACCCTTTATGTTCTTGCTTTTTTAACTGGAAAAAGATCATATGCGTAAAGGGGTACGAGCATTTGCGTTTGTTTGGCAACTGTCGGGGAAATAGCCCGTGGGGATGAATCTTTTCCCGCGGAGTTTGTCGTCTCGGTGAGAAAAACAAAGACCGCTGTGTGTGAGAAGTGCAGATGGCTTGACCGTGGAAAACAAAGTGGCCTTAACGAATTACCGCTATTTAGAACTCTGGAGAAAACTGAAATCTCTTGTCTTCGTTTCTAAGCGTATGTTGATCACGTTGATGATTTTGTTTTGAATTATTGTTTACACTCGTTTTGAATTATTGCTTCGGTTAATTTATTCTTAATGTACAAAATGGGTAGGGCCCTGTGATATTTTCAAAAAAACTATCAGAGTTCGTGTTTTGGGCTCATATATAATAAAATATGATAAGGGTTTTTGTTAATTCATGGCTAAGTTTCTATGTGAACAAAAGAATACTGTTGTCTGGCACTCACACACACACACACACACACACACACACACACACACACACACACACACACACACACACACACACAAACAAACAGACATACACACACGAACAGGCATACACGCACTTTCTCTCTCACACACATACACAAACATACACACTCACACACACACACACACACACACACACACACACACACACACACACACACACACACACACACACACACACATACTCACACAAGCAAACATTCACACACACAAACACACACAACACACACATACACACGCACACACAGCTTGACAAACTGATGTACAAATACAAATCAAATAATACAAGTACAAGACAACAAACTTGTTCATGCGATCATGATATTATTGTCCCTGAGAATCGAGTCTGTGTGACAAGCAGCGACCTTGTGTGTTCCCCAGGGAGGCTATAGGCCTACAGTTTGTTCTAAGGCTCTTGTGTATTCCCCAGAACGTCCCACACCCTGCACCAGGACTTCTCCCCTCGCCAGACACTGGAGTCCCCTGTTGATCGAGTGAACAAGTACCTGGCTCAAGCCCTCACAGCCAGGAGCATAGAGAGGGAGAAGTCAAACAATGTCAACTTCATAACGCTGCAATTCAAAAACAAAGATAAGGAGAAAGGAGTGAGTTTCTGTCGTCTCTTAAATCTCACAAGCTGATAGCGTTATGGCATAGGATAAACTTATGAAAACGGCTGCATTTTAATTATGTTATCAGATGAACTCGAGAAATATTTATGCGGGAACCTCTTCAGCATCGTTTATTTTACCTTGATCTAACCAACAGGAAAAACAAGGATACTGGTAAAAAAGAAAAAGAGCTGAGGCTTAATGTGATTCAGTTTAAGAAACCAGAACAAATACTTCTGTAACTGCATTATGAGATTTCTTTTAGAGAATAAATGGTCGCAACTCCTTTCACTTTTGTCTCAAAGTCTCTCTCAGATGTAGCATGCCCCTCTCTACTTCGTCCATTATCCCTCTCCCTGTTATTGTTTCATTGTCTAGTTATGTCTGTGTCTATTCATCTAACTTTAATTGATTTATCAGTCTGGGTTTTTTTTAAATCCTCTTGCTGTCTGTTTTTAAATTATGGAATCAAGTGCCCGTCTGGCTCTGCATAGACTTTTATACTTGAGTTTGAGAGTACCCTTACTCTCCTATCCCTTCCTCCTCCCTCCCCATTTTTCACACCCTTCCACTCATCCTTGGTATCTTTGTCTCATTTCCACTCTCACAAACAGAAGAACACAATAACAGGTTCAACTTTGTCAATTTTTTGTTCAGAAAAGCAGTACCATAGCCTGTCCAGTTGTGCCGTCACCCCCACTACACCATGCCACAAAACTCTTAACACAATGGAATTTAATTTTTTTCCTTCATGCACACAGCTGTAATAAGCAGGTCATGTCCATTCGTATATTTTGGTTTTGCTAGTGTAGACGCAAGACTGCTCAAGAAACACAGAAACTGACCTTAATGGTTCTACCTCCTCAATCACCCCAAAGTAGGCAGACGTCTATACTGTCACCTTGGCAAAGACAATAGGACCCCACCCTTCCACCTTTCAACTCCTAAACCGACCACCACCACCCACCCCACCTCCCCATCCCCGTCCCACTTTGAAGTGCCCC